GGCGGCGGCGCAGATGATGAGGCCGGAGCCGCACAGGGTCGTGGATCGGCTCCAGATGGGCGGACTCCTGCCAACGTTCGACACGTCCGCGTTCCTACTAGACAGCTCCGCTGGGGGACTGGCGGTGCAGCAGCCTGCGGCGGTGGCTACCGACGGAGGTGGGCTGGAGTTTGACCCGTTTTGCAGCTTTCCGACGCTCGAGTCATGGAAAGTTATGTAGGTATTCATGGAGAGAGTTGCAACTTCTTTCATTTTGTTTTAAATTTTGAATGTTGTGTTACCTTTTTGCTGTTTGTTTCTTCTGTCTTGTGGAAAGAAACAAAGGGGGAGGGGTAAAATGGGGATGTTCTGTTAATATCTGTTTTAGAGGTTGTGTCTCGTCTCGGGTGGGGTTAGTAGTGGCGTGTAGGGAAGAAACTCTGTTTTTTTTTTTTTTTAATATATATTTATATTATTCTTGTTATTTATTTTCTAATTACAGTTCCATATGATTGATTGATTCAGTTTTGTTATTAGAGCGAATGATCGGATGACTCGATTTATGGAGTCATCTATACTTATTCATCAAAGTATATTGACACGTGCTATACAATAAATACAATTTAGACAAATGTCAACCCGTTAAATGGTGGGTGATCTCCATAAGAAAACTATCCGGTGACTCCATAGAATTTTTGTTGATAGATATATTGATCTAACAATGTGGTGGTGTTAGTAATTGAAATTTTTATCTTTGATCAAACATTCTCATTCATATGGATATATATATATGTACGGGGGTTTGCGATGAGAAATGCAGTTATCGTTTTGACTAGAGTTTAGCTTGATTAGCTCAATTTCAACTCATGTACCCATCGAATATTAGCCGAGTTTAGCTCGAGTACTTTTAGCTTCGAGTATTTAAGCATTTACACTACTGGAGCAGTCAAACACATGAACTTATATGTTAATAAGTACAGACTCGAATTCGTGATTTTAATGTTCTCAAACAATAACTCGTGTTCGAATTTCGATCAACCTAAAGTTCATGAGTTTAAAGTTCTCAAACTCTAACTCGTGTTCGATCAACCTAAAGTTTGTAAGTGAAATGCACATTGTAGCAATTGGGTTTTTAGTATGATTCATAGAAATCCGATATTTCAGAGTTAGAGGTGTATTCAATTGTGATTTTAAGAGACATTTTGAGACTTATTAAGATTTCAGATTGTTCAAAATTTTCAAATTTTTGAGAAATTTTGTGAAATTTTATGTCTGGAGGTGTGATTTCGTACACGGTTTTTTCTTTAGAAATTTCACTAAATTTTAAAAGGTTTTAATAAGTTCCAGTCTCAAACTCTTAGTTAAGTTAAATATCTCACAATTTTGTAATATTTTTTTAAAACCTCATTTGAATAGTACAAATTTTTTAAAAGTCTTAAAAAACCTAAATTAAATGCACCGGATTTTTTTTAAAAAAAAATCTCATTTGGATACACCCATTTTATTTTTTCGTTATATTTAATTTGTTCCCTTTTATTATGACTATATTTGGTAGACTAATAAGCTAGCTTATAACTTATTTGATTAGCTTATAAGCTCCCTGTATTTAAATAAGTCTCGTTTGGTAGGACGAGCTTATTTAAAAAACTCGAGCTTATTTAAAAAGCTCGAGCTTATTTGATAAGTTTGATTAGGTATGTCAAATAAACCAGTTGAATTTTTTATTCCAGCTAACTTATCAGCTAATTTTACTAAACACTTTTATCATATAAGCTAGCTTATCAGCTATAAATCATAAGCTAAAAAATTACTGATAAGTTATAAGTTAGCTTATCAGCTATCAGCTAGTTTTTTCGAACGGCGTACCATGATTAGCACGGCAAGTTAATTCCATAAGTTGCCATGAATTTTGTATTGCTTTATTCTAATTTTAAAATAATCTAATTGGATAGTTCAGTTGACCCTAGTCAAGCCTAGTTCAAGTAGCTCATTTTCGTGGCACAAATTTAGGAATACTTGACGCCATAATTAGCTGCTTTAACATTTGAACAGTCTTCTTCCTAATCATTCCAATAATTTATTTATAATTTGATTGATTGAAATAAACAGTGACATAAAACCAAAACAGCTTATTTGATCCTCAAGGGTATTAAAATAATTTGACAACGTTAAATTTCGATAGATTTTGTGATTTAATTAGTTAACAGTATTATATTGCTAACTCGAAACGTGTTACCACATAAATGGATGTATTGGTATTGTTATTTTAGGTAGATCTATTTATTTTTTTGAATAATAATATATCTTTATGAAATATTTTTATTTACATCTTTTAAATATTATGTTCCAATATTATTGAAGTGTATATAACATGGATTTTAATGAATCGAATTATGGTTAAGGTTTTGATCTAATTAGGGCGTAGTTCATAAAAATTTTCTACATGATGCTGCATATTATAATAACCATTATTTGAATTGAGTAGACATGGTCACTCGCCGACCGCCGGTTCAGCCCGAACCGACATAAAATCGGTTCGTTGACCACGAGTCTTGGATCGGCCCGTAGTTTAGTTCATGTTCAATACTTTATATATTTTGAACTGGCTGTTTCGTTTCGAATCGAAACCCCACACGAACGGGAGGTTCGACATTTCTTTATTATTATTATTATTTTTTTTTTATGTATCAGACGGCCAGATATCGGAGGTTCAATGAACTGACCCGTGAATAGAACCGAATTATTTGTTAACATATATATTTGTGAAAACTCAATCTCGACTCGCTTATATATTAGTTAAACTCAAACATCTAATCGAACTTGTCGATCAAATAATTGAGTCGAACATGTCTGCAATCAACTATGTTAGAATTTTTCTCCTTGTCTATGAAATGACGCCAAATTAATCAGTGGACGCGAAATCAACAAAAAAGTACTAAAATGGATAACACACTGTGCAATGAGTAAAAATGTCAAAACGGGTCTGGGCCCGCGGGCTAGCCCGCCCCGCCCCGCCAAAAGAGTGAGTTGGGCTGGGATATTAGAGGCCCGCT